TTCCCTCGAACAGCTTTTAAAAAGAAGCTCCATGAGTAATCACTGTGCCTGCTCTCAGTAGTAGACACATAATTTTGCAATCAAATGAACGTCCTTTTATTAGCTGGCTAAGGGATACGTTTTTCTTCAAGTAATAACATCTTTCATTCTTTGCTGTGAAAAATCAAAGTGACAAGTCTTGGGTTCATTATATGATACCATTTTCTGCGAACATGCTTTCCCTTACACAGTCTCCCCGCCCTGGATCCCGCCCCCTCGCATGGCTCGCTGTCGGTGGAGCGCTGCTTACCCGTCTGCTCTTTCCCGTCTGTCTTCATTTCCGCAGCAGTCTTCAGCAGCTTTCAAAATTATAACTGTGACTCTCCTGTGACAGTCTAAAAACTGTTTAGTCAGTGTGGTGCTGGGCGTTTTTTCCACCCTTAGGGGAAACTGAAATATTCATTTTTAAATTTCTTGGTACTTATTAAGTTTTTAATAATTATTAATCACTTACAAGGTCTATTTAAATCTACATGTTAAGTATCTTTGTATATAAGTCTCAGTGTCACATTTTCTGTTAACAACTAGTCACCACACCAAAAGTGCATAGTTCAGTATTTGCAAACTTTACAAATACCTTTTAATATATGAAAGTCAAAATATTAGTGTTTGTCATGAATTCCCTCTTCATGAATTTAAACTATGATATGTGTTTACTATTGATGTTATGTCTGTAGTTTCACAATCCATATGAAATAGTTTAAAACTGCTGTTTTTGCATGTAAAAAGTATTTTTCTCTTCTGCACCTGGTGTAAGTATAAACGTTATGACGTGTACTTTTTAAATGTGTGTGTCTAACTCTTACTTTGGAGAATATAGTCTGGCTAAATGTGGAAGGATATTACTGCTAAATGATGACAAATTGATTTTTAAAATATCGTTTAGCAGAGACTCATGGACATGGACAATAGACTAGTGGTTACCAGAGGGAAGCGGGGAGGGGGAAGAGGAGAGGTAGAAAGGGTAGAGAGGGTCAAATATGTGGTGACAGAAAGAAGTCTAACTATGGGAGGTGAACACACAGTGTAAATATATATACACCTTCCTGTTAAAGTGTACGGATGAAACTTACTGGATTTCCTTAACCAATGTCACCATTAAAAAAAACTAATAATTAATTAATTAAAACCCACAAAATAAAATAAAGTATCATTTAGCTACAATATCATTGTTTGCTCCCAATAATGTCTTTATAATTTTAGATAAATTTTTTTAAAAAAATTTAATTTTTCAATTGGCTCCTCCTTTGTAATTTTTTTGTCATCATGTTTTCATTCAAAACAGTATATGATTTCTGAAAAGAAATTTGAAAAATAAAGGAACAGATATGAGAACACAAATTCTTAAGTTGGCTTTGCACATAAATGTTATTTTATTGTTTCTGTAGTACTATTTTAAGTACGTCAAAATTAAAATTTGGTACTGTAATTGTTGATTTTAGAAAATACGTGGTATCTTTTTGACTAGTTGGCAGGTTTAACAGGTGGATTTGAATTACGACTTGCTCCAAAGCAAAATAAAGTTATAGTTTTTAGGCATCTGGACTCCTGGTTTCAAGTGTGAACTAAAAGATTCTTTAAATTTCCTAAGGAGAGGAATATAAATAGATCAGTGTGTATCTGTGGGCAGGTGGAATGAGTGGGCACAGAAAGTCAAGATACTACTTTTATATGATTGGTCAACAAAGAGATTTACCAGAAATGTTCTTAAATCCCATTATATAGATTTAGACTGCCTCCCCTATCATAACAAAATTTTAGCAGGGAGGCATTCTGCCAGCATAATTCCTCTCTGAAACATTATTGTAATCATAATGGTTATAATTTTAAGTGCTTTATGCCTTCTGTAGTATGGAATGTGGCCTAGTTGGAAAGAGTTAAGAAAAACTGTTTCCTCACAGAACATCCATTTTTCTCCAAAAAAAAAAAATAATAAAATAAAATTTATTAAATAAAAAAGATTTATCCTTAGAGAAACAAATGACCATGTTATTTAAAAACAGAATTTCTGTTACCTAGAGTCTTGCAGAGAGAATTCCAGATTTAGTCATGGATTGACATATGTTTCGTGGCTAACACTACAGGTGGTGGAATGCCCATATGTTTGTCTTCCTGATTACGCTTTTTATAACTAATTCTCCCTGCGTTTTTCTCTCACTCAGCATCAAGGATGTAGGGACTCAGTTTTTGCTTCAGTATTGAAAAATTTCAGTGATGACACTGTGGCCTAGTAATTCCGGAGCAGTTTCATAATTTGAACTCTACTCAGGAACCTTGACTTTGTGTTCATCGGCAGAAAAGTTCATGAGCACACTATTTAAATGGTCCCTAGAAGAGAGGAGCATCTAAACACTATTCTTTTAAAACAGTTTTTAATTTTTTATATGAAATTTAGTCATTAAAATGAACTTTATAGGAAAGGAAGGTCACTTCAGTCTTAAACCATAGGTGAGCAAGATATAATAACTTCCATTTCTGTTATATTAAAATAGATCATTACTCATGAATTTACCATCATTACTGATAGTGATGAAAATAGTAGAAAGTGATTATTAATTCCATCACAATTAAAATTTTGAATTATAATTCTCAAGTTCAGTTAATATCCAAGTCATGATTTATAGCTTAAGTAAATAGTACAGTTTGGTGTTCCCGTGCTGCTTTGTGACAGGAACTTGAGGCTAGTTGAGCAAGTGTAGAATTATGGAAAAATTCTAACAAGTGCAAAGTTAACATTGAATAAAATGTTAGTCGTCTTTAGAAATTTGGATTGCTTAGAGTTATACATGTGCTAAAAAAAATATGATGTGACTGTGCATTTTCTTGTGCTTTCCTGTTATTTAGATGCCCAGCCTACAGAGTCTGAGAAGGAAATTTATAATCAGGTGAATGTAGTATTAAAAGATGCAGAAGGCATCTTGGAGGACTTGCAGTCATATAGAGGAGCTGGCCATGAAATACGAGAGGTAAAGCATAAACATTTTCCAGTCAAATAAAATTTACTGTTTTAATCTCTCTTGTTTTCTGTACTTTAGAATTCTTTGATTGCATATTAAGTATTATATTTAAAGGAAGATCACTTGCATTATTTCAAAAGTGGTTGCAATGATACAAGAGTAAAGGGAAAACAGTGTTCGACAAATATGTGATTTATGTATGTTATGTATTTTTTTGGTTGCTCTCACACCTGCATCCATGGGGGTGGGGGGGAGACCATTTGTCCTTTCTTTGGAAGGGAGGAGAGAACGTAACTTTCTTTGGCTTTCTTGTTCCGCCGGTCTATTTTTTCAGCTCCTAAGCTTTACAGAGAAAGCTGAAATCATCCATGTTGCCCGGACTGCCCCTGGCTCTGTCTGATGGTGACTTTACACCACAGAGCAAATGTCTGCTGGGGTCTTCCTCAGCTTTCTTCTCCCAGACCTCCGAACTTAACCAGGTTTCATTCCATTCGTCAATTTTTCCATTTCTTCTATTTTTCAAAAGAAGCTATGTCTCTACTACGCCAAGGCTGACTTCTCTACCCCTGTTCTCCATCTTACTCTGGAACCTGACTCTTTACGTATTCCTTTCCTTAATTTCATCGTCTGTTTTTTCTCTTTTATTGACTTCCTTCCCTCCGCATCTGCACGTTCTCAGGTGCCCTGCGCTGCCAGAGAATCTCCCCAGCCTCTGTCTCCCCACACGGCTCTCGAAGGCGCAGCGCACACTGCGCTTCGTTCCCTCCCAGCCCTTCTGTTTCTGTGGATGTCCTCTGAACCTAACGGCACCAACGCCACCAAGGACCAGTCTGCTGGCTTACAGTTCATACTCAGTTCGATTCCTCTGATGGCGTTTGGAGGACTAGTGAAGGCAGAAGGAAGTGCAGGCACCAGAAGATGACAATTCAAGAAATGCGCTGGGCTAAGTGGCCACAGGTTTTGTGATTGGCTGGATGTTTACTATAAAGTAGAAGAGAGAGTTTACTGACTCTTTGGTTTCCAGTTTAGTTGGTGTTAACCATTAATGAGGGAAATTATAGAGAGTGTGAATCTGTTTTTTGCCTCTCCCACGCTGAACTCGTTCCCTGAATGTCTCACACATGTACAGTTCCTTGCCTTTGTTTCTGTCTGGAATATGTCCTTCCTTTTTTCTTTTTCTGTTCAATTTCTGTCCTTCCTTCAAATCCCAGTTATCTCTTACTTCCCTATATCCCTTGCCGTAGTACTTTGCATATGTTTCTTTTATAACTGTAACTTTTTTTTTTTAAACCATTGAGATTTGATGTTATTCTCTTCGCTGCTGTACCTCCAGCTTGAGGAGAGCAAACTGGGTTTCTTATTTTTGTGTTAGCAGCACCTAGTGCAGTGCTTCATAAGTAGTAGCTGTTGAAGAAATAATAACTACAAGAGCTTTAGATTAACCTTGCCAATGTCCTTGCTTAAAGAAAAACTTTAAGTTTATTCAGTAAATGAAGGCATGTAACCATTTCTGTGAAATTTCAAGTTCTCTAAACATTTAAACATACTTCGAAAAAGAAAACATTTATGGAAGCAGAAGATTTTAAATGATTAACTAAGCAGGATCTTAATT